GGCTTACCAAAGATGAATGAAGCAAATATATGCTGCCTTATTCAGGGAAGGAGGAGCTTGTCCTGCCTGCCCCGGTGGCTCTGCCTCACCCCAAGCATGGGCTTGAGATGTGGAATTGCCCCCACTGAAGGGGAGACCCCGTTTTGTCAATGCAATTGTCTCTGTTTTACAAGTTGGAGTCACTCTTATGCTGTACCCAGTTTTTAGACTGGAGACTTCGTGTGCCCTCTGGGCTCTAAGCACCCCTGCTGTGAGCTTGGGCCTTTGGCTAGATTGTAAAGAGCTGAAGGTCATGGCCTTTGTGCTCCTGGCTTGGTTTCTGTTCCCTCACTGTAGCAGAAAGGAGGACCGGTGACACGGTGAGACATCGGGGAGCTGGGGCGCTGTCTCAGGCTGTCACCACCCCGCTAGGCCAGAGCCCTCTCTGGTAGAAGGGATCGCCCATTGTGATGCCACCAACTGTCCAAAGCCACCAGCTCTGTCCTTCCTAGCCAACCTTGCCCATCCCCTGATCCTCCCCTGGGGAGGAATGGCAGCAGGGGTCGGGAACCAGTATCTCCAAGCAGCTTAGAGTTGGCCGTATTTACCTCAGCCTGGGCGCTGGTCCTTTCTTCCGGCCCCTCCCCTCCAAAATGTGCCTATTGCTAGAGCTCCTCCCTCTCAACACCCAGTGTCCTTGGGAGCTGTCATTATAGGAAAGGAAAAAAAAAAAAGCCAGTGCCTGGGGATGGGTGTCTCCAAGGAGCTGGGGATTAGTGCCAGGCAGCTCGTTGCCAGCCATGCCCACTTCCCCACGGGCACAGAACAAGCCAAAGCCTTCGTTGTCTGTTGACGATGCACTTTTATGAATGTAGTTTCTATCGCTGTTTTTAGCCTTTTCACATCATGTAATGTGAGGCCTTGTACTTGTTAATTTATATCTCAGATCATATTTGATGGTTTTTATATATTATCAATTCTAGACTGTTACAGGTGACGGACGCCTCAAGAGAGAGAAGAGAAAAGGAAGCAGCTGGTTTTGCAGAAATGTGTGTTGCACGGTGCCAAACGGGGCCTGGGCCCCTCTGTTTCCATCCCTGCCTCCTGGGGCTGCTGTCAGGCCCTGCTCCACTCCACACTGCCCTCTGGGAACAGTGAGCACACGCTCCTGCCTCCACCTCGGCCCTTGTCCAGGGTGGGGACCGGCCCCTCATCTCGACCAAAGCTGCTGGGTGGCAGCTCGGCCTCTCCACGACCCCATCCTGATGGCTGTAGCTCTCTTCTTGGCCCGCACCCCTGCCCCCTCCCCCCACCTCAGTCCCTGTCCCCCAGGAGGAAACAGAGCAATCCTGCTGACAGGATGGGACAACTGCCTGTTCCAGGTTCAGGCTCATAGAGCCCCATCTCCGGGGTCTTACCTCACGGAATGTGTTTTAAAATGAATTTGAAAGCAAGCCAACAGAACCTGCGCCCCCAAAAAACAAAGACCCTGATTTTCTTGTGCCAAAAACTGTGGACATGCTAGCTCAGCATCCTCAGGACCAAGCTGTTGCTTAATTTTAACTTATTTTTATTAACTAATTCAGATGAAAAGTTGGGGCTCTAGACGGCCTGGGCCCAAAGGTTCTGAAGGGCAGTTTCCTAGCAGCCCCAGGTTTCTGTGGGAAGGGGCCATGCTGTCATTTTCTCATCATTCCATGGTGTGTCGGCCTTGGCCAAGCCCACACAGAGGCCAGGGCTGGGACAGCTCTCACTCCACCTCCTTCCCGCCCCTTCTGCCCACCCCAGCTCTGTGTCAGTGTCCAAATTGTGGGTCGTGCAGAAGAACCTGCAGCCATAGTTATCTGACTATATCTTGACCGAGGGCTTGCAGTGCAAAGCCAGGCCAGTGTCGCGCATTACTCACAATAAAAGGGATCATTTATACCAGAGGGGTCCTGTAGCAGTGCTTTCGGTTAAGGGGTGGCAGAGGCTTACCTGGGAGGGGCTGGGAATTGGTGCCTGGCAACAAGCTTGGGCCCTTCAAAGAGAGAACATGACTCCAAGAGCAGTCCCGGGCTGTCATGGCTAGGTGGCACTGTTAGCCTAGGGGCTCCTGTTCCTCCTTTAGGGACTCCGCTGGGCTTTCACTGAAATGTTCTTTCATTGTTGTTCTCTCAGGATTTTAGGCACACTCATACACATGCCCACCGTGTTTTTCAAGCTACCTGGTCTAGGACTCAAATGTGCAGTCAACCATGTGGGATCCAGCACATTAACTTCTGTGCCATCTGCTGGCCCTGAGGTGTACTGTTGGCCTTCCTGACTCAAACGTCACCAGTGGGTGGCTTCCTGGGACCTTCATGACATCGAGTAGGGCCTTCCAGTCCCCATCCTTGTGAGGCAGGAGTCACGTACCTCCAGGAGCCACCTTTCCAGTACCCCTCCGGCTCATCTGTGGCTTCACTGAGCAGCAGTAAGAGATCATGCCTGAGGAACAGGCAGTTAGCGTAATGGCTATGTCGCTGGATTCCCACGTAGTCGACCGCAGTTCGTGTCCCGGACCTGGTGGCTTAAAACTCATGCCGGGCGCATGTGCGTGCATGCCCAAGATCCCGAGAGGAGAACGGATAAAGGATTGTGGCGTGACCATCTCCCCTGGGGGGTGATTTCTCGCTTTCTGTCTCTATATCTCTGTCTGTCTGGTGAGCGCACACACCCTATAGCGAAAACCTCTCCAAAAAAAAAAAAAGAGAGACCATGCCTGGTCCCATCAGAGGCCTCTAGTGCAGGAAGGTGGGCCTGTCCTGAGGTTCTGAGCAGCTCTCCTCACACTCAAGACCAGGCCTAAGGTGCCACTTCTGCCTCTCCAAGGAGCAGTGCTCCTCTCGGCACAGCTCAGTGGACCACCTGCTGCCAGAGCTTGAGGTGCAGCCCTCTCCTGAGTGTGAGGTCACACAGGGACATTTGGTTGCATGGGGTGATGACAGCAAATCCTCCAGGAGTCTTCTCCAGCAGCTCCTCTATCCTGAGGACAGTTTGGGAAAATCAGCACAGTGGGGCCTGAGGCAGGACAACTCAGACTTTCCGCCTTTGTGTGTGTGTTTTAGGGGGGTGTCCTTAGGTCATCCAAGCTTGCCTTGGTGTGCCTGGGCTTTCAGAGGAGCAGATGCACATTTCCTCCGTGGACTACCTGGAACAGTAGCTGTGGCCACCCTGCTGTGGAGCTTGAAAAGGCAAGATGACAGCGAGGAGGGGAAAGGGCATGGAGACTAGGCGTGACAAGGGGGCAGTCAGTAGTATTTGGATGTACTTGCTGGGTTTGTGGTTCCAGCATTCCTCACTGATTTCCAGGGCACAAGGCTAGGAATACGAACAGCTAGAACCAGCTGGGGGAAACGGGCTTAGACAGGATTCGGCAGAGGGGTCCTACCCTGCACCCCACCGTACTGAAGGGTGGTGAGGCCCCCATCAACCCCACTCTCAGGCCTAATGTTTCTTGCTCTTGACCTCTTCTGAACAGGGTATGTGAGTCAACTTCTGTGCCATCTGCTGGCCCTGAGGTGTACTGTTGGCCTTCCTGACTCAAACGTCACCAGTGGGTGGCTTCCTGGGACCTTCATGACATCGAGTAGGGCCTTCCAGTCCCCATCCTTGTGAGGCAGGAGTCACGTACCTCCAGGAGCCACCTTTCCAGTACCCCTCCGGCTCATCTGTGGCTTCACTGAGCAGCAGTAAGAGATCATGCCTGAGGAACAGGCAGTTAGCGTAATGGCTATGTCGCTGGATTCCCACGTAGTCGACCGCAGTTCGTGTCCCGGACCTGGTGGCTTAAAACTCATGCCGGGCGCATGTGCGTGCATGCCCAAGATCCCGAGAGGAGAACGGATAAAGGATTGTGGCGTGACCATCTCCCCTGGGGGGTGATTTCTCGCTTTCTGTCTCTATATCTCTGTCTGTCTGGTGAGCGCACACACCCTATAGCGAAAACCTCTCCAAAAAAAAAAAAAGAGAGACCATGCCTGGTCCCATCAGAGGCCTCTAGTGCAGGAAGGTGGGCCTGTCCTGAGGTTCTGAGCAGCTCTCCTCACACTCAAGACCAGGCCTAAGGTGCCACTTCTGCCTCTCCAAGGAGCAGTGCTCCTCTCGGCACAGCTCAGTGGACCACCTGCTGCCAGAGCTTGAGGTGCAGCCCTCTCCTGAGTGTGAGGTCACACAGGGACATTTGGTTGCATGGGGTGATGACAGCAAATCCTCCAGGAGTCTTCTCCAGCAGCTCCTCTATCCTGAGGACAGTTTGGGAAAATCAGCACAGTGGGGCCTGAGGCAGGACAACTCAGACTTTCCGCCTTTGTGTGTGTGTTTTAGGGGGGTGTCCTTAGGTCATCCAAGCTTGCCTTGGTGTGCCTGGGCTTTCAGAGGAGCAGATGCACATTTCCTCCGTGGACTACCTGGAACAGTAGCTGTGGCCACCCTGCTGTGGAGCTTGAAAAGGCAAGATGACAGCGAGGAGGGGAAAGGGCATGGAGACTAGGCGTGACAAGGGGGCAGTCAGTAGTATTTGGATGTACTTGCTGGGTTTGTGGTTCCAGCATTCCTCACTGATTTCCAGGGCACAAGGCTAGGAATACGAACAGCTAGAACCAGCTGGGGGAAACGGGCTTAGACAGGATTCGGCAGAGGGGTCCTACCCTGCACCCCACCGTACTGAAGGGTGGTGAGGCCCCCATCAACCCCACTCTCAGGCCTAATGTTTCTTGCTCTTGACCTCTTCTGAACAGGGTATGTGAGTCAGGCTTGGAGTGTCTTAACCAACCCAAAGTGAGGGGGACAAAGTGGGATCTGAGTTACATATGGAGCCCTAGCTGGAGAGAGCAGCACTCCCTTTTCTCAAGCTGGCTACTGCTTCCGAGACACCCATTGCTAGCTCCCCCCCTCCCATCATGGCCAGGAGTGCTCTGGACTGTCCCCTGGCCTCCCACGTGAGTCTGCACCCTTCTTGCCAGAAGCCCCTCCACCAGGCCACACAATACAGAGTCAGGATCTGTTTAAACACGTTTAAAACAGGGCTGATCACAACAGTCAGGGCAGAAACAAGGGAGGGGGGAAGGGAGCGTGGCTGAAGCCAGCCCCCCTGCCAGTCTCTGAGGCTCTCAGCCTGGCGGGTGCTTTAGCTTCCGCTTCTGGACTCCGTGGTGCAAGCTGGTCCGGCCCCACTGCTGCACTTCCCCATGCCCGCCCCCAGTGGCCCTGGCGGCATCCATGAGGCCCAGCAGGTGGCACTCTCACTTCATTCCTCCCAGTCTCCATGGCTCAGGACCAGGCTAAGGGCAGAGGTAGATGGGGAGACAAGGGGGCACACATGGCCCTGGGTGGCAGTGAGGGAGCTGGGGACCCTGAGGGGGGCATGCTGACTCCTTGCTGGAGAAAAGGCACCTAGATAGGGAAGCTGGTTGGGGGTGGGGGGGCTCCCAGGGAGCCCTGGAGTGAGGTGGGGTGGGCTGAAAGAACCGGAAACAGGGTGGTGCGCAAAACCCCAAGCCTGGTTCCCATGCCCCCACCCACTGAGAGAGAAGGAAGGAATCTGGGGGCAGAGCCCTGCCCCTGTACCCAGCTGCCTGAGCAAGATGGCCTCCTCCCCTCCCCATCAGGGCCCGGTCCCAAGCCCAGATCCAACTTCTCTCCCCCCCTTCCCACCGCCCAGTTCCGGTCCCTGCAACAAGGGAGCAGATAGGCAGGGGGCCTCAGGCTGTCTTGGTGCCGGGGTCCACCTCCTTATGGGCCCAGAGCTCCTTGTGCTGCTTCCGGCCAAACCCCTCATCGTAGTTTCCTTTGCTCTTAAACAGCTGCTGAAAGTGGGGTTTGCAGTAAAATTCCCCGTGCAACGCCGCGTAGCTGCCCAGGCTGCAGAAGCAAAACAGCCGCGTCAGATCGGGTCAGGTCAGGGCTAGAAGGCCAGGGCAGGGTAGGCAGGGCGGGGCGCACCTGAGCTTGGTGTGACAGTGCTTGCAGCAGAAGCAAGAGTTGTGGAATATGAGCTTGTCTGCCACCAGCCGCTCCATGGGGTACACAGTCTTCTGGCAGGCGGCGCAGGTCTCCTTCACTTGGGCCCTCAGGCTGAAGGACTGAGCACGGAGAGACTCAGCCTGGCCCTGGGCCATACCTTGGAGCGCTGCACAGTGTTGCTGCCACCGCTGCCTTTGGCTTCCTGAGGGAGAGGGGCGTCAGGGCAGGGGAGCTCAGGGACGCCCCAGACCAGCGCTGCGGGTCACCAGCCCAGATCCCAGTGGCACTCAAGATGGGGCAAAGAAGAGCAGGCAAACACGTTGCTGCTCTCCCCTTCCCCCAGGCCAGTCACCTGCTGGAGTTGGTCACCTACATGAGAGGGGGTGGCCTGGGCGGCTCCTGTAGCCTGGAACATGGTTCCTTGGAGATGATGGAGGCCCGGGGTGAAGACGCTGCTGGGCTCTGCAAGGGGAAGTCGGTCGGTCGGGCGCCACAGCCCTTCCCCAGCCTGCAGGGGTGGGAGCGTGTTTACAGCAGGGACTGGGGGGCTGCGGTTGGGACTTTCCCTAAGTCATTTCCTGTTGCTCTGGGTCTTGCCACTTCCGCCCCTCACCCACCTCCCCGTAGCCGGCACCCCCAGGGGCAGGGGTCCTGAGTGGAACCATGTGTTGGGGAAGAAGTTAGCGGGAGGGTGGCGAGGACCTGGGGGCTCCACGCAGCCACGGAGTGCGCCCAGCCGGCAGAGACCCCGCCTGGGGTGAGGGAGGTCAGGAGGGCGGGGCCGTAGTGAGAACGCGCTGCCCGGCCTGACCCCGGCCCGACGCTGCCCCGCACGGTGCCCGGGTGCCCAGGAC